CAAGATACGGTTACCTTCCAGTAATAGAGAATGTAGAGTGAGACTGGGGCAGTGCCGGCTATTTGGTCCCAGACAACAGTTTCTGAGTTTAGTGTCACTTTAAGCTTTGCAGATGCTGATTAAATCACCTACAATGGATGCTGCTCCTTGAGGTTTAAAAGTTTTAGTTTCCTGCAGAATCAGCCCCTGAACGCTGGCCCTGATATCCTGTTTCAGGGTGGCGCCGCTCCCTTGCAGGGCCCTATATGTGTGCTAGTAAGCTGTGTTTCTCCCCACAAACACACAGACCTAGCAAGGCAAGCCATTCCCCTCCTTTCTTCTCCAAGCTAGTAGATGGACAGCTGCTGGAGACTCCACTGTCCCCTGTGATCTGGTACTGGACAGGAAGTTCAGGGACGCTGAGCTTGGAGAGTTGCAGCTGTTCAGAAACATGACAACTGTAAGTGTTTTGACAAAAATGTAAAGAATTACTTTGCTGGGCAATGCATATTTGTTTGATCTGCATTCATTATGGAAAACATTTTGAATGTTTAATACTATTTTCATAAATTGCTTTGTACTTTTCGTGGTATTTATTGGTGTGCCTGATACTTTTTGTCCTTTTATTTTGATATAGCACAAGAATCTACATGAAACCAATTCACGATACAAGCAAATGTTGGTCCATCTTAAAGATAAACTAATCTTTGTCATGGGTTGCTCAAACATGAAAATCCCATTGTTTTCTATGGGTATGGTTCACACCTTGCCGTATTTCAGCCCGTCTGAACGCGCTACAAAACGGCCTACGCCTGAAAAGGTACATGAGCTTCTTTGCAGCGTTTTTGTCAGGCGTTTCCATTGGGATACAGCCAAGTAGCCCTCGGAAACACGCGTTTGTCGCGCGTTTTTTTTACCACGAATCGAGGTAAAAATGCGTGTCACAAAACGCGCGACAAACGCGCATATTCGATATGCCTAGGTGTGAACAGAGCCTTATGGCAAATCCATTTAAGGCTCTGTTCACACCTATCGTATCGAATATGCGCGTGAAAAACCGCGCAACAAACGCGCGTTTTCGAGGGCTACTTGGCTGTATCTCAATGGAAACACGCAACAAAAACGCCGCAAAGAAGCTCATGTACCTTTACAGGCGTAGGCCGTTTTGTAGCGCGTTCAGACGGGCTGAAATAGGGCAAGGTGTGAACCATACCCATAGAAAACAATGGGATTTTCATGTTTGAGCGTTGTGTAAAGCGTTGAACGCGCTACAAAACGTACAGGTGTGAACCAGGCCTTATTGATAGAGGTCATTGAAACGACAAGCTCTTCCATTCTATTGATAGTTGTGATTCAAAATGACAAGCGCATTTCTGGGCCTGATGAAGGGGACCTGCGTGGCCCCAAAAGCACATGTCGTTTGAATGGCAACTATCAATAGAATCTGAACATCTGTTTTGGATGATATGTACTATTACACATAGAAGATGCCCCCACAAAAGATGTCATAGGTTGCCTTTTTTTATGAGGGCATGTTTTATGTACAATACCCCCCCCCCTTCCTTTTCAATTGATATTTAATATGATATACAAGATACGGTTACCTTCCAGTAATAGAGAATGTAGAGTGAGACTGGGGCAGTGCCGGCTATTTGGTCCCAGACAACAGTTTCTGAGTTTAGTGTCACTTTAAGCTTTGCAGATGCTGATTAAATCACCTACAATGGATGCTGCTCCTTGAGGTTTAAAAGTTTTAGTTTCCTGCAGAATCAGCCCCTGAACGCTGGCCCTGATATCCTGTTTTAGGGTGGCGCCGCTCCCTTGCAGGGCCCTATATGTGTGCTAGTAAGCTGTGTTTCTCCCCACAAACACACAGACCTAGCAAGGCAAGCCATTCCCCTCCTTTCTTCTCCAAGCTAGTAGATGGACAGCTGCTGGAGACTCCACTGTCCCCTGTGATCTGGTACTGGACAGGAAGTTCAGGGACGCTGAGCTTGGAGAGTTGCAGCTGTTCAGAAACATGACAACTGTAAGTGTTTTGACAAAAATGTAAAGAATTACTTTGCTGGGCAATGCATATTTGTTTGATCTGCATTCATTATGGAAAACATTTTGAATGTTTAATACTATTTTCATAAATTGCTTTGTACTTTTCGTGGTATTTATTGGTGTGCCTGATACTTTTTGTCCTTTTATTTTGATATAGCACAAGAATCTACATGAAACCAATTCACGATACAAGCAAATGTTGGTCCATCTTAAAGATAAACTAATCTTTGTCATGGGTTACAGTCACTTGAGCAAGCTGCCCTTTCCTACAGGCGGAAGGGAAATTATTTTACAAATAACGTTTTTTCCAATCGTCTAATATCTGTTAGAAACAATCATATGCAGAGTACAATGAACACCATGTCCCACTAGAGGGCACTGGAGTACAATTGGGAATCTTGGGTCCAGTTTGCACATGCAGTATTTTGAAAGGTCTAGTATGAATAGAATCACGTTAAGCAGGCATGTACCACTTTAATACTACACAGCCTTGTCGAAGACTTGAAAGGACTCTTCAGCTCCAATCTGCTAGTTCTGAATATGGAAGTGACACTAAAATCAGGAGTTAAATCTGAACCTGAACTGGACCCAAGATG